GAATCGCAACAGATAGTTGAAACAGGAGCCAACAAGGACTTTAAGTATCTACACGAATGATATCTCGAAAGCGGGAAAGCGTAATTTACCAAGTTACGATTGGCTGAAAGGCCAACGATTATAGCGGGGACGAATCGTTTCGAAAACTTCGCCTTGTATGAAATAAGGAATTTCTCTGAGAGTATTTTTCAATGCAGCACTCATTTTTTTAAAAGGAAAATGAAGAAGAATGACTCTTAACTTTCGATTTATTTCTGCTTGTGTTCGTTTTCAGGAAAATGGTAGATGCCTGAATGGCTGCTGTCAACCAAATCCTTGCCTTAATGGAGGCACATGCGCAGAGAGCTGCAGTGACATCAGGGAACAGTACACCTGCGCATGTCCACAGCATTACCAGGGAAAGAGATGTCAGATCTTCCATCCAAGAGTCAAATCATGCCAATCTTACTTGAAGCTAAAACCAGAGTCTAAGTCAGGCGTATATTACCTTAATGACACGGTTCAGAGTTATTGTGATTTTGACTCTGAACCCGGAAAAATCTGGACTCTCATCGAGTCGTTCTCTCTAGAAAATAAGGCATTTTACAGACAACAACCTTTTTACGTCAACGTTCCGAGAAACGAAACAATATTTAACTGGAATGATTATCGAGTGTCCTACCAAGCAATGGTCAACATCCGGGACAACTCAACGCACTGGCGCGTGACGTGTAATTTCCCGTCAGGTCTTAATTTCACTGACTACGCACGCGCGAATCTGCAGGATACGGACATCCTAGCATTTGTCAATCAAGATAGCTGTCAGAAGTACGAGTACATTTCGGTTCGTGGAAGAAGTTGTACGAATTGCTTAGGGATGCTTGTGCAGCGAGATACCCAACATATGCATACGGATTCGTACTGGAGCGGAAGAAATGGTTGTTCTTGGGATCCAAGTGCAGGTGCCCTGAAGGACGAAGATAATTTTGGATATTATGACGTTACCAATACTCAACACAAGTGCACTGAAAGTTCTCTTTCCACCACGCAATGGTGGCTCGGTGCGACGCTCTAAATCTGAGCCAACAATGCGATCAGCACTGGTTGTATAGGTCAGCGTAAGGAGGGTGAAAAACAACACAGCGGTCCAACTTTAGGCACGCCCAACTGGATCAATATTGACCAGCCGTATGGCTTTATGAGAAAACCAGAGTCACTTTTATTCCTCCCTTACCCTAAAAAAAAAAAGGTGCCTGCGTTTTCGTACACATTTACTTTCTAGCTTCTATAGTTTTTAAATCCTGTAAGATAATCCACTTCTGAAAGCTTGAAAGCACAGTGTTAGGCCGTCAAATTGGAACACCTGACATCAAACTCCTCACTTGGAGACCTCTGATGGTGACTTTTGCTCATGTTGTTGAGAAGGGTCGCTGCGAGTGACATCGGTCTGTCTGTGGAGAGGATTGTGCGGAAAATGACGAGTGTCCTAGCCAGTCCTTTTGGCTTTTGTAACCTGCTCCACTGACTAAAGAACACGACTTTCTGCTGTAGGACTTCGCTCGTCACCACAGTCACACGATGAGAATGAAAAAGAATGATTTTAATGTCTTTATATCCGAATATTTAAATGTGATTTTAAAACCCTTAATTTTTTTAGTTTAAGAGCAAACTTTTCGTACTGAATAACAATAAAGTCGAATGCGTCTTGCTTGGCAACCGAGAGCAGGATAGATAGGTACATTTTTTGTTTATTTGTCGAAATAAAACAGAGGTGAGGAAAAATTATAAGGCGCTTGTCAGGATTCGAGGGACTGTTCTTCCTACATTTTACCAACTTAACTGGCCAGTGTTTTGGCTTTGAAGTTAGCCTAATTCACACAAGAGAGGTTTACCGGTTTCGCAGTTTTTATATAAATTTTCTGGTTGTTTAAATATTAGCCTCAAAGTAAATAATGCAAATGGGTCGAAATTAGATCTGGTCACTTATTAGGTCAATAATACAGCATGGCTAATCACACTCAAGAAGTTTCCACGAAAGTGAAATACTAGGAATAAAATTAAATGATGAGAATGTTTTTGTCACGGATAAAATAGCTCGAGTTCCACTGTCGTCTTTACATTCAGACAGACAGACAGACAGACATCTATATTTATACAGGATAGCCCCTTCAGTGTAGTAAACACTGGTATCAACGGGGGTCCTGTTACCCACGCAACCCACCCCAGGGGAGGACATCCATCACACAGTAATCTCGTGCGTGGGAAATTAACGTCTCCTGCCCCTAACCCTGCAGGAGACGGGACCTCCATTTATTCGTCCCTATCCGAGAAGACTAGAATATCTAACCA